TATACTTAACTTTGTCCGGGACAAACACGTGCATCAACGTTGGTCCTCACAAATTTAAAAATGTATATGCCCAAGCGCTCTCCAATCACCGCAGGAAACAGGTAGGAATTACAAGAGCAAAAAGAAAAAAAAAAACCAGCACTGGGGAACGTTAATTTTTGCATCATAATGCCGTCGATATAGGTATCAAATGGAAAGGCTTGAAAAATAGATATAGATAGCGTAATTATGATGGATGTAGAAAGATTTCATCATGGCTGAATGTAATTTTAGAATAAAAATGGACATTTATATCGCTTACGAGCAACGAGCAAAAAATATGCAAAGCAAAGGTGTTGTCAGTTTTAGTTGCATACACTTGTGGAATGTTGTGAGCGTGTTGGACCTCTGTGGACAGTTTCCAAATTTTTTACTCAAATTCGTAGCCGATATCTTCATTTTTGCGAACAGGAGAACGTTTACCAAAGATACTACATGGTTGGATACAGTTATGTGCATTCGCATTTTGAAATTGGCCAGGAATTCATATTTTTTATGGTGTTTTCGAACCTTGCTCTTCTGTGATTGGTAGAAAAATTAAATTATGTCGTACCATACCATTAAGTGAACGTGGCCGCCTTTTCTCATTTTTGTACAGGTAGTATACCATCGCCAATCGAATATGCGTTTTCATTAGATTTATTTGCTGTAATTTGCGAGCAATGAGCATGAAACTAATTTTTTATTCCTTTTGTTAAACAGAGGCGTTCTCAGTTTATGTAGTATTGTAAGTATGTTCTCCGACCGATTCAGCCCATTTTCAATATTAATCTGCTTGTAAGAGCTTTGAATGTTTCTTCCAAATAACTTCATTTGTGCGACAACGACAATGTTTATAATAGGCATTTTACAGGCGGACCGACGGACACGATTGCATCATTTCAGAATTTAAAGCAGCTTAGCAAAAATATATGCTCTTAAGCTTCCTTCTGGGCGTTTTGATAAATGAATCAACCCGTCATCCTTCGGTGACGGGCTTGAAAAGAGGCATCATTTCAGACAGTAGGTCGAAAACATGAACATGTGTACTCGCAAACAAAAGAAAAACGCACAATACACAAAAACATATTTATGGATATGTTTGCAGACCAACTTACATTATCACGTACTAAATATTTAATGTATTTTATTTTTATTTTTTATTTTTATTTTATTCGTAGGTATTTAACTTATAATATAAATAATACTTGTTTTTTTTATTGATCGTATAATTTTATGCTCATATGCATATATATCTAGTAAATCATTTTATGTTGAAAGAAGTCACACCCTTTTTACTCTCCCTCTACGGATATTAGGTTAAATGTTTATCTTTGTAAAAAAAAAAAAACAGGTAAATATTTTCTTTTTACAAATTTCATCTCCCTTGAGTATGTACCTGATGATAAATAACTAACTGACTATGTGTGTGTTTTTTATGCTTATTTAGATAACAAAAAAGAAAAAAAGATTTCAAAAAAAACTTTTTTTTCAAATTTTTTTTTTCATGTCAAATGCGTTAACTGATGCCTTGTTGCATAATATATATATATATATATATACATATATGTATAAGAAAAATAAATTATTTTTAAATAATTTCTCTTAACGATTTAAAATGTTTAAACTAGAAAATCTCAAACAAATATTTGTTAACGTCTTTAGAGAATGAATGCACTTAAAATAGGGAACAATAAAGAAAAAGAAAAAAAAAACAAAGTCAGCCTAATCTGCATTTAAAACACATTAGGGGTACAAAAAATCGCGGGTTGACCAAAATAAAACTAACAATAAAACAATTTTTTTTCGTTTTCAAAGGTGACTTCGTCGCTTAAGACACGTCTAGACTGGCGCGTAATCATTCAATTATGAATGCACTCTTCATAGGCTGTCTCAAGCAATATGACCTTCAAAGTGACTTTGTCGAATATTGTTTTACGTTTTCTTTTTAGGGAACAGAAGAAATCAGAAGAAAATATATATTACTTGCTCCTGATGCACAAGGGTCTGTTTCTCTCTCTCTCTCTCTCCATTTATCTCTCTCTCTTTCTCTACATGGTTTTATCGCCTGAAGGTACTCGAATTGAACGTTCCCAAGACTCTTGGAATGGTCTTTCAGCATTTACACCTCGATATTCAAATGAATGTTGCCGGAGTATGTCTAAACAATGACATTGGCGCCATGTGGTACAATGGTACAACCTGGATTTAATACGTGGTCATTCAAATGTAGTATAAAAGATTATTGCTCGGATTATTGCACTGTTTAAGGTAAAAACAACTAAGAACATGGTAGTCGGCCAAGGCCGACTGTTAAATACCCTACAGTACTTTGTCTGACACAAGTCTTATTTTTCTGAATTTACTATTACGGGTCAATTTTCATAATCACATACTCAGACTTACATTTTTCTGCTAGGATGCAAAAAATAGGCCGAGATGGCCAAATTTGGTCCAGTTAATGATTTTATGTTCAAGTGGTATTATGATATAATTTTCTCCGTGAAGCATTGAAAATATTACCTTTTTGTGACATGAACTTCAGTTTTTGTATTATGAGAGGGTTTCAAAAATTACCCCAGCCGATTCAAAGTTTTTATGCCTATTTAGAATGTCGAAATACTACTACTTAGCCACTTTTGCCGAGAAACTTTCGAAATTACAATTTCTTTTCATACAAACACTTTTCAAAACAGGGCGTTATATGGGGAGTGGTCGAAAAAGTGGACCGAACCGAACCATTTTCAATAGCGTTTGTTTTTGGGCCAAAATATCTCAGTGTGCTAAATTTCATGAAAATATTTCAAAAATTGCGATCCACAGATTGAGCACAAACATACACGGACAGACGGACAGACAGGCTTAGATCGGTATAATAAAAGGTAGGTCCACCTTAAGCCCTTCTGGGTGTTACATACGCTCGCACCAACTTAATATACCCTGTACAAAAAGTGGATAAATATCGTGCATTCCATTGATCTTGTAAATTCAATGCAAAGTCTTTTGGGGTAACATTTGATCGCAAACTCAACTTTGGCTCCAAAATTGACAAAGTTTCTGATCTGAAAACTGTACAATATAAATCTATATATGTTTCTAAAGATTAAACGTGTCATTCCTCATTCCCTCCTTATGACGCATGTTAACTACTGCGGTACTTAAGTCTCTTCTGCGTGCTCGGGATATAAATTAGGCAGACTTCTTAGTATTTGTAACCGTATAACTCGTTTTGCTTACAGCCTCTATCTTAGACGCCATGCGTCCTCCTTCGCTCATGTTTTCCTAAAATTCTCCAACTATCCAAAATTCAGTTTGTTTATCTACCCTTACAAAATCGTTCCAACTCAAGCCCACAAAACTTTGAATCGAACGACTGCAGTTCTCTAGATCGAATGAAAAACCTTTCACATTAATACCACGGTTGTCTAACTTATCAGCCGAACGACTTTATATTGTTCGTGTTGCTATTATAGTATTGCTATGCCTTACCATCGAGTCTGAAACCCTTCGTTGATTTAGAAAAAAGTTGACCGCATTGCTAAACTAATAATGTATTAGGATGTCCCATAAGTTTCTTGCTGTTTTTTTTTTTTGATGCGAAATCAAACGACGATATATCTCATTTTGATTAAATGGTTATGTACCGTTGTCCAGAGAATGTTAGTGGTATCTACTATCGCGCGCACGTTATATCCCGGATTTTCACCGAGTGTACTCTTACAGCGGCCGCTGCGGTCTTCATCTTTCAAATCAACATTGCCTGGCAGTAGGTTCTAATAGTCGTAGTACCACTCCCATAAACGGCGCAAATCTTGTCTGCAGTATCCTTTGCACTGCCACCTTTTTTAAAGCAATGAAGCACAAGATATGGCAAAAGAGATTTTGTCACCAACGAAATCCACTTTGGAAGACTGAAATCGATGCCATAAACAAACAATAGATAGCTCTGCATAGCTGGTTCGAGATGATATATGGCGGGTCGGGGAAAATTTATGGGACACCCGTACATATTTTGTTTCCGGTCGGAAATGATGTTGCGAAGTTGCAACAAGATGATTGCATTAGCAGCTTTATAGTTACTTAATAAATGAAAAAATGAAAAGAAATTGTGTAGGGTATTGAGTAGTCGGCTTTGCTCGATTCTAATGGTTCAACTTGCGTTTTTGTAATCTAATTCTTTTGCAATCTCGATATCTCTAGATCTTGTAATGCACTGAAATTTTTCTTCTTTTTCCGTAACTAATCTCTTAACTTTACTCCCTAAGTTCATCTTTTTCTTTTAATAATTATTTATTAAATTTTCAGCTTTTTTTCGAAACAATTTCTCATCTTCTTTTACAAAGCCGACCAAACAAGTTAAAAATTCGTCTAAGTTGAACATTTTGAATAATAAAAATTTATTGTCATCGTCAAGTGCATTGAAAAAATTAAAAAAAAAATTTCTATCGAATTGTTGACAACCAGCACGTAACCTAAAAACGACAAAAAAATAAAGAAAAAAAACTAAAGAAGGAAAAAAAAAACTCAATGTTAATATTTGTTATAAGTAAAAGAGAAATAAAAGTTTTTTTGTTAGGTAAAAGCCCACTAACTACTTACTCATCTTACTTCCTTTAAGCTCAACGCTCAATTTTCAATAACTTTGTAGACAAGCAGCAGCAACAGCAGCAGCAACAGCAAGCAGTAGATCGTGTGTGTCTGCATTTGCGTGTTTTTATGTTAAACCGTACTCAGCATTGACTTTGTACCACTTGGGGCTCGGTTCGGTATATAAATTGTGACCGCATAACAAAAATTCAATTCATTTTAAAAATTTCACTCATCACTTGAACAACTTTACGAAACGAAACGATCACAGCATAATAATAAAATTTTAAAAGAAAAAAATAAATAAATAAATAAAATAACAAAAATTAAAAACAAAAATAAAGAAAAAGAAAATAAAGAACTCAAGAAAAGTTAATTAAAAATAAAACAAAAAATAATAGTGCATTGAATTTAAAATAAAAAGTTAATTTTAAATAAAGAAAATAAATAAAAAAAATAATCAACGTCTCACACAATGAAAGCATTTATATTAGCAGCCAGTATTTTATTACTCAGTTTCGTTAATGTGAGTTGGGCTCAATTCAATAATGGTCGTGTTCTAGATCCACCAAATCCGCAATTATGTGCTCAAAGAATCATACACGAAAGGACACCCGATGGCAAAGGGTAAGAGTTGTAACTATTGCAAGTAATACTTGGCTTAAGTGACTTGATTTTGCAAAAGACGAATCGAAGAGAACGAGAACGTATATAAAAAATAATAAAAATAAAAAAAAAACACTATAACGTGAACATAGCCCACCAATTTAAACATTCTTCACCACTTCGTTTAATAAGGTTTTATATGGTTTGTTGTCGAAAAAGTCCGAAACATTTTCAATAGCGTTCGCCCTAAGGCCAAAACATGTCAGTGTAGTGGATTCCATCAGAATATCTCAAAATTTGTGGCCTGTAGTCTGAATGAGATAGGCGGACAGATGGACAGACGAACTTATATCGGTTTAGAAAGTGAAAATTTGTGGCTTGCAGGTTGAATACAAGACAGACAGACGGACAGATGGACAGACGAACTTAGATCGATTTAGAAAGTGATTCCGCTATTCTGAATCGATCAGTACGATGAAAGATGGGTCCATCTCAAGTCCTTAGTGGTGTACGGTATAATCAAAAAAAAAATTATATTTTACTGAAATTTTTAAATGCTCAAGTTGTATTTATTAGTTAAGATTTCATTGCTCTCCAATCTCGTATACCATGTGCCATATCATATATCGTATACATTTAGTTTTTTTTTTTTACACTTTTACACAGTACCGCCTTATTCGTATACGGAATTTTGCTAATTGTAGACAAATTCTTGGTCGCTTTTATGCTGACTTTCATACTTGATGCGGACATTAAAAACTAACATAAGACAATTTTGAAGAAAATTCTCTAACTTCCTAGAAATTCTGGTTGATCCCACATGGGGAATTTGATCCACTTTTACAAAAATGAAAAAAAAAAACTCTGATGCCAAGTTTGTTATATCCTACATAATTTGTAGTCAAGGGTGTAATTCAGAATAACTTTCAGAATCGATTTAAGCTTGTCTGTCCGTCTGTCCGTCTAAATTTTTTGTGTTCAATCTAAAAAGATCACACTATTTAAGGCATTTTTTATACCCGCCTGCTAGTTTAACATTTTTTCATATAAAGTCCAAGAACTTAAGACAGATTCATCTTTTACACATTCATCGATTCATCGACACAGAACAACTTTTTGCATCCATCTAACTTTATTTGTCTGTCCGTCTGCCTTGTCTTCTTGTGTTCAACTCACAGTTCGCAATATTTGAGATGTTTTGATGAACATTGATACACTGACACTGATTTAGGCGAGGATGAATGCTCTGGAAAACGGTTCGAAGCGGACTACTTTTTCGATATCATGCGTCTTCTGAAAAACTCGTGATATGAATAGGGTGGTGTAGAGCATTTAATGGGGCACTCTCTATAGTGCTTTTACGTCTTTTTCTAAATAACATGTTAAGGGCATAATTATGATTTCATCATGTGGACATATAGACAGGCATAGCTAAATTATTTCCGTCAAAATACAAGTTACATAGTCCATATGAAGCAAGTAATAAAGGAAAACTTAAAACGAAAACTGCACAACTTTTAATCTAAAAAACGATCAACGAGAAACAAAAGAAAATAACAAAAATTTAGCTCACTTCATTTTTGACCTGAGTCTGGCAAGAGTAACAAAAACAAGATTTAATTAATTTTCTTATTTTCGAAATTTGAAAACACTGATCATGATTACAAGAGACGTACGAACAGGCAGAACTAAATAGTTTCATGCTCATCACCAATACATGTTTGTTATTTAACACACAAGTCACAAGGACTTGACATAGATCTTCCTTTTATTTTAGCAATCTAAGCTTATCTGCCCATCTGTCTGTTGCTCGTCTTGTTTTCTTGTATTCAATATTGTGTTATTTAACAAGTCCAGAAGTGCTTGAGACGGACCCAACTTTTGTTATAGCAATCTAAGCTTATCTGTCTGTCTGTCTGTTGCTTGTCTTGTTTTCTTGTATGTAAATTCTTGACCAATTTCAAGTTTGGCATGCACCTAAATATGTCTGTCTGTTCGTCTATCTCTCTGCGGAACTGTGTAGTATCTGAGGTAAATTTGCACAACATTTTGGAAGTGACTTAACATATTCCAAGGGCAAGCCGATAACGCCCACACACGCCTATATGCGATAATATAGGCGTCATATTTTGTAAATAGCAAAAATCAACCGCGCCCACTCCTTACTATATAGCAATGAAAATTTAGTTCTTTTACTCTTTTTTTTGTCTTTTTTTTTAAATAACAGTGCTGGGTATAAAAGATTCGATAACTACCAATTGTAATTTTCTTACTTATTCTGCTTCAATTTCTCGAGCATTAATTATTTTTTTCAAAAAATAAGCTAACTGTATTTTATAAAAAGTAGTGATTATTTATTTATTTCTTTATTTAAGAATTTTCTTATTATTTATGTATTTATTTTATTTTTAGTTACTTTTTCTCCTGGCGTGATCCTGCTCTGAAGGGCGTCGAAGAAGACTGGTTAACTGCTCGCAATTATTGTCGTCGTCGTTGCATGGACTCTGTTTCCCTAGAAACAAGTTTAGAAAATGAATGGATTAAGCAACGTGTTGTTAATGAAAATGTAAGTTCCTTAACTCTACACATTTTCCTTACCCAACATTTGAGTATGGATTGTCTTACGGTTATTTCGCTTTCGTCAGAAAGCCCTATGAAAAGTATATGCACTGAATGCCCAGTCCGTATGTCCGTCTATACGTCAACGTATGTGTTGTAATCAGGAATAGTTACCGCAGACTGTATAAATTCTGAAGTCTTAGTCATATCCATCTTTATATATATCCCTGTTCCCATGACCGCTTCTAGTGTCGAAAAGTTTGCAAAGAAAAATAAAAACCTGAGACCAAGCATGAAACTCACAACACAACCATTGCGATTTTTAGAAACATGCGGTATCCATAAAACCGTTACTTCAAAAACTTATTCTTCTAACAGAAACAAATTTGTTTTCCTTCAAGGCTATTTATGAACATTATTAAAAGTGATTATAATTATAGTTTATGTTAGGAAGAAAACTTACATTATGCGTAAGAATAGTGTCAATAGCACTGGTGAGTAAAAACTTACAGATGCAATTGTGATATTCATTTTTTGCTTTTTTACTTGCTTTAATCAGTTAACTACATATGATAACTTTATATATGCGATAATCCGTCCATCTGTCCTTGTCGCCTTTCCTCATTAAATTTTATCATTGTGAATATTTATTTGGCATAGCAATATATTTTAGAAAATATAATCCGTTCATTCATCCTTGCCTCATTTTCTCATTAAATTTTATCATTATGTATGTTTATCTGCCATAATAGTATACGTTGTAAAATATTTTTGTCATATTGTCAAGTTGACTCATTATAAGCTAATTTCATAACAAATATACCCTGTGTTCGACGAATCTACGAGCATATCGCTAAACGGGCAGACCCAGTTAGCCGGTTAAATGCACGAAATCTTTTCCAACTAGAAGTTAATGCTAAGAAGTTAGGATGCACCCGAGTGGTTGCGGCTTCAATTCTCAAGTGCGCTAGTCTTCCGCCATTTTGTAGGATTTTCATAATCAATTCCATAATCACTCTTTTTCTCTATAATCGCAAAGCCGTGGAAGTTAACGGACTTCAAAAGTGGTGACAAGGTTTAAGGCCGCGACATTCCGGCTCCTGTTGCTTCGAAATCTACTCTGCTGTTCTGTTTAAGTGTATTGTCCTTTAAGCTCCGATGTTTTAAGTGGCAGTCTGAAATGTAAGAACGGCGATGCCCCGAGTTTTTTTCTGGTTGGGAGCCGTGTTGTGTCGTAACCTTTCAAATTGCATTTTCACTGTTGCCGTGGATTGTTAGATAAGCTTCGATGGTTTAAATGCCGGCCTGACGTATCAGAATAGGCTTTCCCAGAGCTTTTTCACGGCTCCGGTTGTACACAAATTCAAAGACGTCTGATTGTAGAATTTCAGTACAAATTGGCGCTTGATTCAAAGGCAGGGAAAGAACTTATATAAGCCTCGTCTTAATTAAAGAAGATGAACCCACATGACGACTGGTGAATGCAAAGTTCCTAAGCCGATACTCAGGAGAAATGATGCCGCTTAGGATTCGAAAGCTGGTCAAAGGCTATCATCAGCAGCTTACCATAACCTCAAAATTTTAAATTTTTCAAATTTTCACAATATTTTGCAAGAAATTACGAAATTAGTCGCCTGTCGTTACTGCCTCGCACATCATAGCTTCGTTCGAAAGATGCAGTCTTCTCTAGAGCGTTAGAGTTTCTTTTCTTTTCTTTTTTTTTTTTGAAAGGAAAGTTTACTTAAACTATACTAAAAGTAAATCTTTTTTTCTTATCTACTATGACTTGAGTATTATATAATTTTACTGTAATTTTTAATCACTTTTTCTTTCCCAAGCAACCCACGCGTTAATTTTATGAAGCAATTTTTTTTCCATCTAATCATGTAGATAAGAAAAAAGAAAGCATTAACAAGTGAAAAAATTATATTCAGTCGTGAACGAATCTTTTATACCCATCGCATAGGCATGTGAGCGTTGCGGGTGGGTCCTGTAAAAAGCTTAGGTCACTTTTAAATTCTTTTACGAATTTGTAGGCGCTAACGGGAGATTTTTTACCACAAATATTACACTGATGGACAGAAGAACAGACGGACATGCTTAGGTGCTTTCCAAATTTGAAACTGGCCAAGAATCTACATACTTCATAAAATTTTTGAAGCTTGCTTCTGCGCCTTATAAAGATTTAAAACAAAAGAAAAAACTAACTTTCAGACACTATAAAATCGGGTAGGCGTGGTCGGTTTTTTTCATTTTTGTACAGGTGCTACAGCATCACCCATAGAATATGCCTTCAAATTTTTTTACATTTTTCCGCTATGATTTTACAGCAACAAATCAAAAACCCATTTTTTAGTCTGTTGAAAAACAGAAGTGCTCTCAGTTTAGATGGTGCCGTTGGTGCGTGTTCTTCAACCGATTTGGCCCGTTTTCAATAACAAGCTATCTGCGAGAACTTTTAATATTTCTGCTAAATTGGAAGTCGACGACAGCTTCCGTGTTGGGGTCAAGAGAATGTTTCAAGACGGACAGACGGATATGCTTGAATCGTTTTAGAATTTGATGCTGATAAAAAATACTATGCATGCTAAGCGGGGTCTCTCATGCTTTCTTATGGGCACCGTAAACGTTTTAACGAAATGAATATACCGTTTATCCTTCGGTGATGGTTATAAAAATGAAATTTATAAACATAACGCAATTATACATATATATATTTGTATGTATGTTCACACAAATGCAAACAATATGCTAAACGGAAAGTTGCTCTTTCTTTTGCATTTGAAAATATAAATATGAATATGAATGTGAATTGATTATATTGAAGAAAACGTGCTCGAAATCGTGAGAAATACCCTGCAATTGAATGAACGCAAAAGGTTTTTTTTTGTAACCCATATATAAATATATTTGTATATGCATTTACTCGTATATGCATACATATATATATATGTTCACAAAGTTGACCCTTTTCAATTCCTACTTAAAAATATTATAATTTCCGCCTTTACGTCGCATCTCATCTGCTTTTGTATTTTATATATATATATATATATATAGATATACATTTGGCTTATGTTCGGTATTGTATGGTTCCGTAGTTTATTTTTTTTTATAATGAAACCGAAAATGAAATTTTTTCTTTACATCATACAGCAAAAGCGATTTCAAAGAGAAAAAAAACCTGTCTTCTGTGTCAGTGCCGATCATGATGATAATAATGTTGTTTATTACGATGAAGAAGATAACATTGATGATGATGATGATGATGAGTATGTGTTTTTTTGTTTGTGTTTGTTTCTTGTACAATATTTTAAGTTCAATGTGAAATTTCTGGTTTTTTGTTCCCCAGTTTTTTTTTTTCTTTATTACACCGTAAGCGTGTAATTTCATTTTCAATATTATGCAATAGCATCACATATACATACACACACAAACACGCACTTATACACCCATATATTATTAGTGTAATACATTTGTTTTTTTTTTTTTCTTTTATTACCTGATGGGGTAGTGTTTAGTTTTATAAATGGAAATTTTTTTTTTTTTTTTTTATCTTTGACCAATTTCCGATTGGCACGCTTTGTTCATCTTCACAATTTTCAGAGTAGAGAGGTTTTAACTTGTTCAGTTCGGTTGCTTTTCCTTAATTGTTTGTCACGAATTTGTATGAATTTATTTATGGTGATGGATGCTGCGGATACTGATTTTCTTTATGTTGTGTCGATTAATAGTTACATTGTAAATATCTTTTCCGATGTTATGTAATCTGAAAAAAATATATATATATATATATTTATAGGCAATAAAAAGACACTAAAAATACTTTTAAGTTTAAAATCCAATAAACAATGTATACATATGACAAGCATATAAATGGAACTCTCCGTGATAGATCACATAATGAATGCTTGCATTTTAAGCAAAGTATGAAATAATGCACCCAACTCAATTATTTAAGAAATCTAAAACAAACTTTGTAGTAGTAACAAGTGAACACACTATAAAGAGGCGCGGCGCATCTTTGAATACCCTACACCACTTCGTTGAATACACATATCGGAAGCCACCTTTCTTTACTTCAGCTGCTATTGAAGTCCAAGATTTATGGCATGTCTATGAACAGAGGGCACCAGAGAAGGAATAGTGCAACTGGACACCTGGATAACGCCAAAATTCATGCATAGTGAGAATGCAAATGTGGCTACGACGTGTAATGTCGATTACCTAAAAGTCTTATAATAAGAGCTATGGGGATCGCGCGAGTCCGAGTGTCCACTCATCTCATCGCATGCACAAAGAAGAATAGCGCGCATTGTTCAATGCTTACGGAAGGTCATCTGAATATAAGGGTGGCTATGCCGCTTAATGTCGATTACGGTTTGAATTATGGGGATCAAGGATATGGCAGACTATGCGCTCATTGCATAGGAAGAAGAATAGCATCTATTGCTCAGCGAACAAGCGCTAGTAGTTGGTTGCGACCTTAAGGGGAGCATCGTGATAGTTGTAGTTGTATCGAAATTTCGGAGGCACAAAATAACTAACTGTGGTACATAGGCCCTAGTTGGCCAACTTTGTCTCAGGCCCCTGTAAGTGATGTAAGATTCCGTTACAAGCTGAGGGCAAACAAGACATTGCTTGCTTCATCTGAATATAACGGCGCTTAATGGCGATTGTCTAAAAAAATTACAATTTGAACTATGAGGATCACGTGTATGTCACGAAAAATAATATGCATAGCGAACAAACGCTGATACCTTTTCTCGACCTCAAGGGGAACATCGTGATAGTTGTAGATGTATCGAAATTTCGGAGGCATAAAATAATCAACTGCGGTACATATGCCCTTGTTGACCAACCTTATCGCAGGTCCTGTAAATGATGTAATATTCCATTATAAGCCGAGGGGCGCAAGACATTGCTTCCATATAAGTGTACAAATTAAAGTTTTTCGTCTAAGCGAATGTTTCCCTAGGTGCAGACCTTAAATTCCGAAAGCAATAA